CTTTTTGCTGAGGAAGACCGGCTCTGAGCTAACATCTATTGCCAATCCTCCTCCTTTTTTTTCCGCCCCCAAAGCCCCAGTAGATAGTTGTATGTCATAGTTGCACATCCTTCTAGTTGCTGTATGTGGGACGCAGCCTCAGCATGGCCGGAGAAGCGGTACGTGGGTGCGCGCCCGGGATCCGAACCCGGGCCGCCGGTAGTGGAGCGCGCGCACTTAACCGCTAAGCCACAGGGCTGGCCCCCAAGGGGCTCTTAATCTTCCCATTGTTTCTCAAGATTCTTTGAAAGTTAATGGAAAACAGTCTCGGTATCTCAGCCTATATTATCTGGGGATTAACAGAATTCTTTGTGAAGACATTGCAAAACAAGCTTTTTAATACTGTTGTTCTTTGAAATTAATTGGAGAAATAACTGAACAACTTTCTAACACAGTGCACTTATAATATAGACTAGTCCTGTCAAAGAAAACTTTCTCTAATGATGGAAATTTCCAATATGCTAAGTGCTGGCGACATGTGGCCAAAAAATTTTAATAAATTTATATTTATTTGCATGTAAATATAAAATGTATTTATATGTAAATATACACATGGGGCTAGTGGCTATATTTTATACAGTGCCACTCTATTCCAAGGTGTCCTAAAAAGATATGTTTTTCTTCCTTCTAAAAGTAGGGAGATCATGAACATTAACAACCATTGGAATAATAACAAACCTGTACCATTTCTATTCTAGACGATATTCTTTATATTTCATTAAATAACAAATTAACATTAATGGGCCGGCCCTGTGGCTTGATGGTTAAGTGCGCGCGCTGCAATGCTGGTGGCCCGGGTTCGGATCCCGGGTGCGCATCGAGGCACCACTTCTCCGTCCATCCTGAGGCCGAGTCCCACATACAGCAACTAGAAGGATGTGCAGCTATGACATACAACTATCTACTGGGGCTTTGGGGGGAAAAAATAAAATAAATAAAATCTTTAAAAAAAAAAAAAAAACAAAAAAAACAAATTAACATTATTAAATTTATTTTCCTATGGTCTACGATCTCACGCCTAAATTTTTTTACGTGACAATTAGGCTAAATTTCATAGATGATACACTAAGTGAAATTGATTTTATTTTCATCTTGGGTAAGAGGTGCAGGCTTTTATCTTTATCATATGACTAGTCCCCAAAGTTAGGACTGTCAGCGGTTACTGTCTGCTACCTGAGATGACATCCAACAGCAAAGTGAGCTGATAGCCAATTACCTGGGGGAGGGTGGGGAGGGCAGGTAAAGCACAGAGCGCAGGGCTCCAGTGAAATGCTGCTTTCTGAATTTGCCATAACCTCCTCCTTCATGTACTCCTTATTCTGCTTCAGCCAATCTTAAAAATGGTCAAACACGTGAGGGAGGCACTGAGCCTATGATGATGATAAAGATGATGACGATGATGATGACAATCGTAGTAGAAGCAGCAGCTGCTAATGCTGAGTCCTCACTGTGTGGCAGGCACTAGCTAAGGACTGTACACGTTATCTTTTCTCTCTCAACAATCTTGGGTCATTCTTGGTCACAAGTGTACATTGAGCCTTCTGCTGGGGTACTGAGCTTCCAGAAACAATGAGATATGTCTTTACAACTAAACAGATGAGGGATCAGGATATCCAAACAGGACATGCTCAGTGGCCCAGGTCAGCAAAGACTATAATATTCTCCTGGGTGAAAACAGGGAGGGACAGTATAACATGCCAAAAGCAAAATCAAATGATGACTGTCACCCGTTTCTTCTAGTAACTTACAAATAAGAACATTTCATCTGATGTGGGAAATTAATCAAGGGAAGCCCCTACCTCCTCAAGCCATTACTTTTTGGTTTTTGTCAACACTAAAAGAAGCAAACTATCTTAAAGACATGAGCATACTGGATGTCAGACATTTTATTTACAGAAAGATGAAAGTTAAAACAAAGAAAAACTCCACGGAAAAACCCTACACTCACACAAAACTTTAGTAACTAGATAAATACGACTATTTTTTTCCACTTGAAGCCTGAGACCACAAAGTGCCAGCATTGAGAATGAGCCAGTCCGAGTAGGATGTGGGTCTGCTGGTAGGAAGCCACACCCAGCAACCAAAAATTTATTATGACTCCGGCCAGTTTATTTTAATGACAACACAGTCAATATTGGAGGAAACAAAATAAACTTACAATAAAAATATATTTATGAAGCAGTTTCAAGGCAATGGATTTAGCTAAATTGGCACTAGTAATGAGTTCCTTTTCTTATGTGCACACAGGGTCAAAGAGAGTAAACCCAAGGAGGAAAAGTTAAGAAACTTAGAATTTTGAAGCCAGCCAACATGTGAAAACTCTGTGAATTCATCGTGAACAGTGGGAAACATACAAAATACACTTCACCATTTCTTTAAACTCATCTCTCCACCAACATACACATTATCCTCTCCTACCCTCTCAGTGGTTCTCTACCGGGGTTATTTTGCCCCCAGGGGACATTTAGGAATGTCTTGAGACATTTATGGATGCCATTCAACATCTACAGTGCACACTACTGCCCCCGACAACACAGAGTGACCCACTCCCCCGTCAGCAGTGTCTTGGGGGAGAAACCCTGCATCACAGGGACGTGGATGGTAAGCTGTATTTCAGGAGGGGATCGAGATGCGAGAGGTGTCAGGAAGACCATCTGCTGCCTCACTTGTTCTTCTGTGTTTACAGCAGAGCACACACTGGCAAACTGGTCAGCTAGAAGTAACCCTGTAATTTTTAACTCGGTATGAAATATTCCCGAGCATGAAACTACTGAGCTTGCAAACATTAATATGCAACTTCCAGAACATTAAGATTCACAGAAATAATCTGCAGTTTGTTGATCAACATTAGTAAGAAGATAATTGCTAACAAGAAACAACAAAGAACAGGTTCTCAAGCATTTGAAACTGGGACATCTTCCTTCTCCTATTTTTGCATGACATCATTTTAACATGTTAAAATTGGTCAAGAAAAGAACTTTCCAAACTTTATTGCGGTAATCATTTCGCAATATATACGTGTATCAAATCACCAAGTTGTACCCCTTAGATTTATACAATGTTATATTTCAATTATATCTCAATAAAGCTAGGAAAAAATAGAACTTTCCATTTACTTTAAAAGACAAATAGAGAACCAAGTAGCTATTCTCACGGTTCTGAAGGCAGATGATCCCACTCTGGAACGCCACTGACATCGTAGCCACAAACACTTAACACACGTGGTTGGTAGGAAACAACAAGCCTTTCGCTGTCTTGAAGGCAGCGGTGTACTCACAGGCTCGGTTCCGGGTTTTGTAAGTGCAGGTGTAAAGGCTGCAAGGCCTCACTGGCATGGACCTCGGAATCTGGAATCTTCTCCACAGTGACTTGCACGGAGAGGTTTGGACAATGACCCTCAGGCGATTCATCACCTCCATCTTTAGCTTGAAACCTTGATCAGTTCCCAAATAACTTGAAGGAACCTAATGACCTAGAGTTAGGAGGACAGAGGAAGAAAAGCTGTAAACAACAGGGACTGAGAGCACATGGACCCCTCTAAGTAGGGCAACAACATTCAGACTATTAGTACACACCCGGGGGAGGGAGACCCAAATGCGAGTCAATAGTTTATCCAATCTTGTTCCTCAAACTTATCGGTCATCCCAGGATGACAGACTGATCTGCTTCCCTCAAGTGCACTTCACCCTCCTGCTGCACACCAGCCATGTACACTTTAGTTCTTCCAACTCCCGATGAAGCTCCCTCCAGCCGGTGCAGATGCTCCTACTTCCCCCGAACTGCTCCTCCTCCATCTGTGCCCAGTTATTTCCTACCCTCTCCTCAGGTGACCCACTCCAGTCACTTCCTCAAAGCCTGCCCTGGCCACGTGCTCACCAGGTGAGCCCACCGCCCTCTTCTTCTTGGGCATGGTGCTTATCTCAGCTGAGTTAAATACCTGATCAGGGATGTACTTTACCACTCCATCTCCCCAGCATCTAAGCCCCATGGTGGCAGGGACTGTGTCTGTCTCCATCAGAGCTGCATCTCTTAGGGACACAGTACCTGGCACATGATGGCTGCTAGATGAGGATTAGAGGAATGACCTGAGCAGGCTTCCTTGGCGATGGAGAAGATGTTGATCCTAATTTCAAGAACCCAGAACTGTGAAGTGACTGCCGGCGTCTTCTTGGACAGTATTAAGGGTTTTTCCTTTTCTTAGATGTCACTATCATGCACTTATAGGGTTATTTGTACTTTTGAAACACTTTTAAGTGCTTGTCCTTTAAGAGGACGGTCTCATATCCCTACCTATAAGATCTGAAGGACCCCCGAAGTCCTGCCTGATCTGAAGGGGAACCTACCCGAATACTTGAAGCTAACCTAGTCTCACAGGGATGGGAATTCCGCCAGCAAACATTTCATTTCAACATTTATTGTCATTTCCTTTGCTCCAGGCTCCGTGTTGGGTGCTGGGATGCAAAGACGAACAAGCATGAACTCTACTCTCCCAGTTTGCAATTTCTCCTCTTTGGAGCCTCTTGAAATGCACATCATAAGGGAAGGGAAACACACCCATCCAGTTCACAGCAGGCGTTAGTGCCTCCTCAGATTCTACCCTCAGCCTATCAGAGGCCTCTCAACAGTTTGGCAATGCTGGGGGGAGGACAGGTGACAGAAGGCACAAAAAGAAAAACTGAGGGGGCACCAAGGCACACGTCACTTACCAACGTGAACTTTATTCGTTCATGCCATCTTTCCAAGGAGAGTGTTAGATACAAAAAAGCACATTATGATCCCCAGCGATGCTGAGCAAGGAGGCACACACTCTGATTTCACCCTCCCCTCCCTCATGTCCTTCACTGCTATTAATTGGCTCTGAACCAGCTCTTCTCCCCTGTACTGCTGCCCTTGACTCTGCGAGATCTGAGCTAGAGGGGAGAAGGCTACAGCCAAGGGGAAGGAGAGAAAGTCACACCTGAGGTGCGCCCAGTGAAAGCTGGAAGCAGAGTTACTTCCTATTACTACCCTGCAGGAACAAGTGAGGGCTCCAGGCAGAACTTTTTATAACTGGCTATCAGCAAGCCAGGTCATGGACGAGTATTGCAAAATGAAGTGTGGCAAGTAGCCAGCCTTTCAGCCTGGTGCCCTGCGCTCTGTCGTACGCCTCATTGTGCCAATGAGCACAATGAACTCAAGGAGCAGAGACACACGGTCACCACATTAAAGGGGACTGGTAGGAAGTTCATGAATCCCATGGAGGCTCCTCACCTGCAGGCCTAACTTTCTACCTGGGCTCTTTAGGCCAGTGACACCTAAAGTATGTCTGTATTGCCTAAAAGTGTTTGAAATTCTCAAAACAAGTTACAATTACTTTTGTTTATAGTTTTGTGTGTATGTGTTTGTATATATACATTTTTGGTGGGAGTGGGTATGTCAAAATGTATCCTATTTAAGATATACAAAAGTCTGACTCAGGATTTCAAATATAGACTGGTAATAAATTTTCAAGATATTATCTTGATAGTGCCTTGAGCCAAATAAGAATATCTTGTTTTCAAATACCTTCATTAACCAAATTAACTGAGCAGGCTTAAAGAATAATAGACCATTGGCCACCTCAATTCAGAATCTTTTTCTGCTTTTCTTTCTTAATTTTTTATTTTGGAAAACTTTAAACTTATACAAACAGTGAAAGTACTGTAATAAAACCACCTATGTACCCAATACTTCTTGTCACCAATTGTCTGTTGGTGGCCAAGCATGTTTTATTTATACCCTCCCTCCTATTTCCCTTCCCTGCATTATTTTGAAGCAAATCCCAGACATTTTAGAAACTTATCCATGATTGTATTTTTCATAGAAAAATATCCTCCAAATTCATAGTTTCTTCTCCATAAAAATTATCTGTATGAAATGGCCTCTGGTGATAGTTTATTAACAAAATATGAAAACGATCAATTTTTCAAAATTAAAAACATAGCAAAAAGCCCAGTAACCCGATACTTTCTCAGTGCCAACCTATCCCTTAATGTAAACACTTCACTTCTCTCTTGATATCTCCACCCTACTCTTGGATGAGAGCTCAGGTTAAGAATGTTATACTTCTTTCTAATTTGTAAGACTATATCCAGCATGAAACTGCACAATTTATTTATTTATTTATTTATTTTTAATAATTTTATTTATTTATTTTTTCCCCCAAAGCCCCAGTAGATAGTTGTATGTCATAGCTGCACATCCTTCCAGCTGCTGTATGTGGGACGCGGCCTCAGCATAGCCGGACAAGCAGTGCGCCAGTGCACGCCCGGGATCCGAACCCAGGCTGCCAGCAGTGGAGCGTGCGCACTTAACCACCAAGCCACGGGGCCGGCCCAAACTGCACAATTTATAATTGCAGCTCAGCAGAGTAAAAGGATTATATGAACTGAAATGTTTAAGATCAATAAGGCTTCGTGTACATCCTTAAACTTATGCAAGAAAGAATCCAGAAGCAGAGGAGCAGGAAAAACAGATGTTTAGTAACACTGAACAAGAAGTCGACTCTTTCTGTGACTTCAGATGCTGCAAGGTCTGAGAAAACTCTCAGAAAAAGCTGTTAAGTGTTATATAAATTGTGAAAATGAATAAAGAGAAACCTCATATAAAATGGAGTCAGCAAGCCTTAAAGGAGGAGCTCTCATGTGCACGTACTTTCCGTCACAGCTTATTTTATAATTCTGGGCAGGAAGATGCTTACTTTACTGCCTCAGCAGGAAGAAAGATTCTTCTCCTTGCCCAGCAACAGCCGAGCCAATGAGAAACCACCATGCTCAGCCAATGAGAGGCTGTCACCACCCTGAACTCTCGCTTTCCTCCAATGGACTATGGTTCATAACAGCCCCTCCCAACTTCCTCCTTTTTCTCTATAATGTTCCTCTCCTTTGTTTGAGGGACTTAACCTGTGGTTCTGCCACAGCTTGCTTATCGCAATTTGCAATTCTTTGCTATTCTCGAATAAACCCATTTTGCTGGTAAAATAACTGCCTGTTTTATTTTTAAGGTCAACAAAATGAAAGTAATTATTACACAAAGAAGTTTGCTAAAATGCTACCATGATATAAATGCAAAAACTAAGAAAATAGAAAGCAGTTTTGGATGATTTTTAATATAATTTTTTTCTTTTTCTTTTTAAGACAATAACATCAAACAATTCCAACTAAACAGGATTCTCTCTGATAAAATCAATTTGACAGTAAAATGAAATTTCAAAAACTGCTAAGAGATATGGGGAAACTTTGCCTTAATTCTGTGCTTCTTTCCTGGCACGGCAGGCTGGGGCAGACCACCAGGGCCTTGACCTTGCCTTGGGGACTGCCCTGCACTCTGTGCACAACGATGAGGCTGGCAGTCGATGACACCTGGCCCAGAGGAAGTGTCTCCTGCCCACTTCTAGACTGGCTCTCTAGGGCTGGGGGGACACAAGAGCTCAAGGGCCTGATGCCGCCCTCATCCTCTCTTGGGCGTCCTCCTCCACAAAGCCCACTCAGCCGTGGGCTGCATGTAGTGGCCTGGAAGTCTGAACCTCTGTCTGTCTCCTAAGAATGCTGCTGATCTCACTGCAGGGGATGCTGACTCTGGGGATTACCTTTTGTGTTTTTAGACAAAAAGCCAAAACAAAATCTTGTTTTTCTGTAACAAAGCCAAGTGTATCTGAATTTCCCATCATCCCAAGTCAGCTATGAATATCTGTCACAGCACTGGCTAAGCAGACGCCCAGGGGATGCAGTGGAAGGTGGAGCCGGATGGGGATTTGAGATTAATTCGGGGAATATGAATTTCCAAGAGACTGGAAGACTTTCAGATGTTATTCCAGGCATAGGATGAAGCCCTGATGGTTTCTGATGACCCCATCAGCACAGCACAGGATGGATGGGAGTGAGCAAAGACTGGAGCCAGGAAAGTCAGTGACGAGGTGAGTCCTTCACCCATCCTTCATTCACCCCACCACTCTTTCATTCTTTCATTCATCAGGACATCAATCCAACATCTAGTAAATGCCAGGCACTGTTTTAGGCTCATCAAGGGAATAAAACAAAGTCTCTACCATTATGGAGCTTACATTCTAGCAGGAGGAGACAGACAATAAACAGCAAGCGTATGAATGAGTAAATTATGAAGAAAATTAGAATAGGTTCAGTGAAAAGTAGAGCAGGGTAAGGTGAATTTGAAGTGTTGCACCTTTAACAAGGTTTTCAGGGCAGACCTCAGAGAGAAGGAGAAATTGAGGGGAAGACTTGAAGGAGATGAGGGAATTACTCACGTGGCCATCTAAAGGAAGGACATATATATAAAAAGATAAATATATAATGTGCAAATATATATAAAAAAATATACAATAGTGCAAAGACCCTAGGTGGGAGCATGTCTGGCACATACAACGGACAGTAGAGAGGCCAATATGGCAGGAGTGGAGTGAACCAGGAGGAGGGTAGTAGGAGAAGAGGTCGAGAGGTAATGGATGCCAGATCAAGTAGACTATCAAGCCACTGGAAAGGTTCTTTCTCTAACTCAGGGTTTCTCAACCTCGGCATTGTTGACATTTTTGACCACATGACTCTGTTTTGGGGGCTGTCCTGTGCATTGCAGGATGTTTAGCAGCACCCCTGGTCTCCACCCACTAGATGCCAGTGACACTCTCCCTCCAACTGTGACAACCAAAATGTCTCCAGACATTGCAGATGTCCCTTGGAGAAGAGGGATCGCCTCTGACTGGGAACCACTGCTCTCACTGAAATGGGGACACAATGGAGTTTTTGTACAGAGGAGGGACATAATCTGATTTACATTTTTAAAAGATCATTCAGGGTGCCCTCCTGGAAACTGACTGGGATGGGAGGCAGGGAAGAAGCAGAGAGATCATTCAGGATAGTCCTGGCGCTGGAACAAAGGATGTCACAGTGGACATGGTGAGAAGTGGTTGGGTGTTACCTATATCTTGGAGATACAGCCCATAAGATGTGAAAGAAAGGAGTCAAGGATGACTGGAAGATTCTTGGCCTAAGCAACTGGAAGGATGGAGTTGGCATGAACTGAGATGACTATGACAATGTGTGGAAAAGGTTTGGGGTGGGAAATCAGTAGCTCAGATTTGGGCATGTGGAATTTGAAATTTAATTCCAATAATCCAAGTGAGAGAATATGAAGCACTGAACTAGACAATGACAGTGGAGATGTACAAGGTACTCTGTATTCAAGAGATCACCATTTTGGTAAAAAACATAGGGTTTGTCACTCAACTGGAGGACAGAAAAGGGAAAAAGTTGAGGAAGGCCTTGTGATTTGACAGCTGGAGTGATGCTGGTGGTAGGCTGAGGACGAATCCCTGAACAGCGAAAGAGAACCTGGCACGAGGAGCAGGTGGGAAGGGAAAGATGGCACTCTTACTGCCAATCATATTGGATTTGAGGCGTCAAGAGGGCAGGCGAGAGGAAAAGTCTAGAAGAGAGCTGGCAATGCAGCTGTGGTGCTCAGGAAAGGTCATGAGGCTAGAGACAGAAGGACAATCCCCTCCCCCAGGAGTAACAGGCACTTATATGTTCCTTATCTGCTGTTTTGCGGACTTAGAAATGTGTGAAAAAAGAAAAGATTCTAAAAGCCTTTTAAAATCATTCATAAACCGCGTATTTATTAAATGCCTCGGCTCTTGAACTCTGCCTCATTAAGCCATTCATATGTATACAAAACAGATAGACAAAAAAAAAAGCACCTACTAAAGGTTACAATTACACTGAAAAAAAATTCCTTGATACTAATCAGATTGACCCTTCACTTTCTCACTTCCTGATTAGAAAGGAAGCCAGCCTTTTACAATTCTCTGAAATTTAAATTAGAGGATATGTTTCTACGACTTGACTGAGAAAGCTCAGCTTCCTCCTTTCACACACTTCTTCCCTGAGAGCATGATCCCAATTGGCGGTTGCCAAAGGTTTCAAAATACACTTCTTAACCTAGTCTGTATGCTGCAATTAACTGCTCTAGTGCAGCCAAGAAATGAAATGTATTTCCCTCTTTTCATCAGATTTTCCCAATATTCATATTCAATCAAAAATTACTCAACTTTTACTGTGTTTCAACCATGAGTGGTGGCAGCCTTTTGCCTGGCTCCAGAGACAACAGGGCAGGTGTGTACAAGCACAGGAATGGTGCCCTTTAGGCGAATTTCAGTCCTGGTACTCAGTTTACAAAGAGTAAAGGAAGAAAACCCTAGAAAGCTGAAAGGTTTTCATTTCCAAAATATTCAAGAACAGTGCAGCTCTTTACCAGTGCCCAGAAGGGAGGGTGGGTGGGCTGAAGTTTTGGTTCACTGGAGATTCCAATGGAGACTGAGAACAGTGACCACTCTGAGAGACATACAGGGAAAGCTTATGGGGAGGGTATGGGGCAGCTTCTTCACCAAGAGATTTCTGACTTCTCTCCATATTCCAGAAAGACTTTTAAACAACAGAGTGGAGATGGACAGACCGTCAGTAAAGGAAAAAGAGAAACCAGAAAGCAACGTGCTTTTCAGTAGCTGACGGAGAATAAATGCTACTCAAAATAAGGTATACACATCTTCATCATTTCCCCACATTTCTCAAACTTTCTCAGCAAAGTTAAACCAGGGAGAATTACACTGATAATAACGAGTTCCCAGCAGCCTCAGAGCAGTAGCTTTTAACTCATACCACAAAGAATCACAGCCACCAACAGCATATTTTGTAGGTTCTTCCCCTCCAGCTCCGAGGCACAAAAGAAAAACGACAAAATAAAGAACTGACAAGTACAGAAAGCTCAGATTTGTCCAAATAATACAGTTATGCTGCTGATCCCCTGCCCTGGGGGGGGCGGGTGCCTGTGAATCTGCCCTTAACCCTTGGCATAGTCACGGGGAAGATCAACAATGCAGCTCTGAGCGAGTCTCAGCTTCCCGTGCCTCAGTTTCTGAAACTGCAACCACCTCACCTTCCCAAGTCTGTGGGACAATTGTTCTACCGTTAAATAGAATCCTAAGGGGAGGGTAGCTGTCTGCTGACCCTCATAGTGGAGGAACAGGGTTAGAGTGAGAAAAGAGCGATTCCCTGCCTCCTCTCCCCCCATTCTACAGAGAAGCCCCGCAGGGACTGTGGGCATCCTCCCGGGGCCAACAGCTGTCCCGGATCCGGGGCCTATCGCAGCGTGTAGTCGTGAGTGGCGGAAGGTCCCTGTCCTCTTTGGTAGGCTACGCTCCCCTGCTGCCCACGCTCCACATCGCCGCGCTACCTTACCCGAACGTTTCCCTGAGCGCGAACCCCTCCGCTCGCTACCGGGAAGACAAGCTCATGCGCGCGGCCATCTTGGCTACGCCCCCTTACGGCTTGCCACGCCCCGCACGCAGGGACACGTCATTTCGCTTTTTCACGTCACGCCCGCGTCCGCCCGGCCCACGTCCCCGGCAAAGCCTTAAGTCCCGCCGCGGCCACGCCCCTCGCGTCGGATCGCGAATTTGCTGTCCGCCCAGCTAGGGCCCTGGCTATACCTCTGCTGCCGTTGCTCCCGGCCTCCAGCCGCGGCCCCGTCCCTGCTCTCCGCCCGGGGCCACTCTTCCAAGCTGGACCATCTTTGTCAGGCCCGAGAGCGGCAAAGCCACGCCCCCACGCATGTGCCGCGCCCCCACGTTGACGGTACGTCCCTGCGCTCCGCCTACACCACGGCCCTTCTTCCTGTTACGTCATTAGCGTCCCGTACGCTACTCCGTGACCCGGCTTTTCCATCGGTGGCCACGCCTCTGATCTGAGTCCTTTCACATACCCCCGGCCACGCTCGTTCCGCTGACCCCACGTCCCTCCCCGTGCCCATTTCCCTACTTTCCACTCTGGTAATTACTCTGCCTGTTCTCACTCCTTCCGCAATCTCGACCAACTTTGTCGTGCCCTTACGAGCGGCCACTCCACGCCGTTCACGCAGCGACTAAGTCCCACGTTTTCAGGTCACGCCCCTCCCGACATGGCCATCGCCGGCTCTCTTTCTCACGGTGTCCAGGCCCCGCCCCTCAGCCCCGGTCGCGTTTCTTCCTCCTGTGTTCCATGCCCCTCCGTCTTGGCCAATCCTGGCGCTCCGCCCTTGCGACACAGCACGACCGTACGTTCCGCATTGGCCAGTCCCATTCCGCTCATGCGCATTTTCCTGTATTCCGTCCTGGCCACTCCCTGGGTTCCCAGGCCACCCACTTTCGGTTCCGCTCTGGCTGGGTCCACGCCTCCTGCTCTCCCTTTGCTGGCGGCGCCTAGTCGTGGGAAGCTGCGGAGGAGCGGGCGGGGCTCACAAGTTTCCGAAGAAAACCGTCCAGGTCTCAGAGCCAGACTTCAGCGGCATTGGTAGAGTGAAACGAGCCTGCGGACCCCTGATCCTGGTCAAAAATTGACTTTCTTCATATTTCTCCCAGCTCCAAACACCACAACTCCACGAGCAGAAACCGGATAGGAAACATAACTGGGGACCGACTGGGACTGTGTTCCTACGAGCCCCCCAGCCGATCTTAAATGCTAGGCAGATGCACGGAGTAAGAACACTCCTCTATTTCCTGATATCTGCTCCCGATGCCTTTCCCTAGGCACCTAGTGCCGTCTTGCTGTCTAGGGCCTGTGGAGGCAACACCGCACTTAGATGTCTGCTGGCGGGGTGGGGGGGCTGGGCCCTGCTCGGAAATTAATCTTTACTCCCTCCATTTACAATTCTGGGTCCACAAGAAAAAGTGAAGAGGTTATTACCAGCTTTTTTTTTTTTTTCTTTCCAGAAATCTCTGAACGGGCACACTTTGGAGAAGGGCACTTTTCATTAGCCATTCAGTCATTCATTCATTTAAATCTTGTTTATACAATACTGTGTTCCAGCGACAAATAAGACAAACCTCAAGGAGCTTACAGCCTGAAGTTTCCCAACTTGGGTTTGGATGGGACAAAAATTAATGAGAAAGTTAAGGAAGGTGTGGTAAGGGGGTTGGCTAATAGGTGCAAAAGGACTTGCTAAGTGCTGGTCTCTCTTTTTTTTAAAATTGAAGTGTAATTGACATATAACATTATATTAGTTTCAGATGTACGACATAATGATTGAATATTTGTATATATTGCAAAATGATCACCACAATGAGTCTGGTTAACATCCATCACCCCACATAGTTACAGTTTTTTTCTTGTGATGAGAATGTTTAAGATATACTCTTTTAGCAACTTTCAAATATGCAATATGGTATTATTAAGTATAGGCACCATTCTGTACATTACATCCCCATGACTTATTTACATTATAACTGGAAGTTTGTGCCTTTTGACCACCTTCACGTTTCACCCCCCCCCCCCGCGCCCTGCCTCTGGCAACCACCAATCTGTTCTCCGTATCTATGAGTTTGGTTTTTTATTTTTGTTTGTTTGTTTTTTAGATTCCACGTATAAGTGAGATCATCCAGTGTTTTGTCTTTCTCTGACTTATTTCACTCAGCGTAATGCCCTCCAGGTCCATTTGTTTGTTTGTTTGTTTGTTTTTATAATTTTATTTATTTATTTATTCCCCCTAAAGCCCCAGTAGATAGTTGTCTGTCATAGCTTCACATCCTTCTAGTTGCTCTGTATGTGGGACGTGACCTCAGCATGGCCGGAGAAGCGGTGAGTCGGTGCGCGCCCGGGATCCGAACCCCGGCCGCTAGCAACGGAGCGCACGCACTTAACCGCTAAGCCACGGGGCCGGCCCTGTTTGGTTGGTTTTGAGAAGCACAATTTTTCTTGATTTTTAGTCCCAAGGGAAATCCTGATTCCTCATCATGATGATACTGTGAACTAAGTAGGAAACAAGTGTCATAAGGAGTTTCATGCAGATCCCCTGAATGTAAACTGTTGCCTCAATCACAAAGCACAGTGTGTTAAATCAATGCAATGAACCACCCAAACTTTCCTGTTCATTTAAGATCACAGACCCTCAATGGTATGGCTTTATTCAAGGCAGCACTTAGATCCTCATTATGATGGCAAGTACGTTTCAACTCACATATCAACTGACTAACTGCCTTGGGAAGTTTTGTGGCTGAGTTCATGCTCAGAAGAGAGAAGTTCTGTAATAGATTAACAGTGTCTGTTGTGGGTGAAGGATGGGTGAGTGGCTGCAAGCATCGATCTATCTGGCATCTCTGATTTGTAGTCATAGAGGTCTTGCATGCACATCTTTTAGGTGGTCCTCAAAAACAACATTTCTTACTTTAAAGCTTTTAATGATTTCAGATGGTAGAAGGGTCAAGGTCATTGTCACTGGCCAAAATTTAAGGGCAGAAACTGATTTGCTGATTAATTCATATGCTTTGTATATCAACCAGAATGAGGGCTGTTTAGGATTCTGTTGTGAAAAGGAGAGCATCTAACCTAAAACGTACATGGCTCAATGGCCCCACCACCTCTTTATAGACGTTGACAAAGGAAGTACCTATAGGCAGGCTAGATGTGACTGGGTGACGCTAACTAGCAACCAAACAGAAGATTAAGGATGGGAAATACTACTCTCTAGAGCATGGCTGCAATTTTAGTCTAGAAAAAAATCATGACTTGCCAAAACCATGAGAAAATTCTCTATTATTTTATTTTATTTTATTTTTTTCGTGTGAGGAAGATCAGCCCGGTGCTAAGATCTATGCCAATCCTCCTCTTTTTGCCGAGGAAGACTGGCTCTGAGGTAACATCCCTGCTGATCTTCCTCCACTCTTATGTGGGACGCCGCCACAGCAAGCCCGACAAGTGGTGCGCCGGTGCGCTCCCTGGATCCGAACCTGGGCTGCCAGCAGCGGAGCACATGCACTCAACCACTATGCCACGGGGCTGGCCGGAGAAAATTCTTAGTATAACATCCAAGCAACAGTGCAAAGAGTTAAACATCTAGGAATAAATGTCAATAAAGTCTTGCTTTTACTACATGAGGCTCCTTATAATGTATTGGTCTTCACGCACAGGATGAGACACACAGACACACATGCATTCCGTTTAAGAAACTGTCCTTTCAATTCCTGTCTTAGGAATATAAAGTTTTCAGAATTACACTCCCTCAGTTTGTCTGAATTAATCTTCATTTCTAAATAGTAGTGATTAACTTTCTCTGAACTAGTAAAATTTTACCCCGTGGAAAAAAAGACAAAGTTCATAATGGTTACGGCTGTTGATTAACCTACAAAATTTGATGAGCCTTCTGAATATCATAGCTTCAGATTTTTTTCTCAACTTAAAAAGGGCATAAGGTATGGGAGTGGAGACAAAAATATTCCAAAGCCCAGGTTTCTTTGTTTATCAAAGATACTGGAATTTGTTTTTCTCTGGCTAGGAATGTAAAAAAAAAAAAATTGCAGTGTACCTCATGATACTTCATTTCCAGTCTTGAGCTTCTTAGAATGCCAGTTTAGGATTCAAATAAATCAATTTAGTTTAATTAAATTATCAAATATTCATGGCCCATGAGAAATGCAAAAGTGATCCAAATATAGTCCTTGCCCTCCAGGAACAAAATTTGTAGGACACAAAAGTAAATCATGTTGATGGTAGATGCATGTATGAATGTGAACAAAATGCTGTGGGAACACAGGAGGAGAGAATAAAAAATTAGTAGATTGGACAAGTCTATAACAAACAACAATCTATAACAAAGACAAAAGAAAAGAAAGTTTTCTCAAAGGAGATAATTGAGATAGACCTGTAACAATGGCTAAGATGTTTAAAGGTGAAAAATGAAAGCTCACGGTATTCAAGTTAAGGAAATGGTGTGAAAACACACACAAAGGACGGAGGTAGGACGTAGTCCACTGCAGGACCAGCTGGTGCAATGGCTCAGAGGAGGATGGGGAGGGGACATCAGTGTAGATGCATCTGAAAAGCCAAGTTGGGTTCAGATCTTAGAGGTCAAAGAGTGGATTCTCTGACATAGGCCCTGGGGTGCTGATGAAGATTTCAGTGTGGGAATGACTTCAGTGAAAATGACAAGGAGAAGGACAATGGAAGGTAGGAATGGCATTCAATGACAGTGAGTTTTAGATGTGCCTGTACTTACTAATCATGGGCTGTTGGACTGGCAGCCCATATGTGCCCAGGGCTCCAGCAACCAGGCAATTATTCTTTCTCATTAGCCATCTTAATAAAAAGATAAATGAGTTTATTTTAATCATAATTTCAGAATATGGAACAAGTGATGTTAAAATCTTATAGGATGCTTGATTTTACACACGCACACACACACACACACACATTTTGTTCCCTTTATCTCCTGTTCTTCCTTTTGTGAATTATTTCCATTAAGCCAGATACAAGGAGAAAAAAAGGTACCAGATAAAGGCCTAAATGGTGTTTCTAAAGTTTGTACGATGTTCAGCAGCATCCCTGGCCTCTACCCACTAGATGCCAGTAGCACTTCTCCTCCATTTGGAGACAACCAAAAATGTCTCCAGACATTGACAAAATGTCTTCTGGAGGAAAAAA